CAGCAGAATTTCGAAAACATCAGGTGACACATCTTCCAATGTTATAGCAGTCTTTTGAATCTCTTTAGGCGACTCTGCATTTCCGGTTAAGCTATTCTCAAGGAATGAGCTTCGTGTACACAATATTAGTGAATGAACAAGAAATATCTTATTATTTGGCTCCTTTCCGACATAAATTGAAACGTCGGCATATTTGCTGCTTTCGTAAAGCTTCTCACAATCTGATAAAAGGCCTGAGGACAAATCAACTACGATATTCATTTCGTGCTTAAGAATAAATAGAATAAATCACTTCTTTATTCTATTCCATTCATCGATCTGATATTAATAGATTCTTATTGGTCAATCTTGCAACTGCCCCCCTACTTATATCACCTGATTTTAGCGGACATCTCATCTTGCTAAGTAACAGCTCTTAAACCCCAAAAAGCACATCCGAACGAGAATAACCTATCGAGAATCTCCAGAATTTTACACAAACGTGATCTATTCGAGAAACGTTAATACATACCGGTTCTCCAGCAGAAAAGTATTTGTCGTCTTCCACTTTCAACGACTGCTCTCATTCGTTCTATTTATACGTGATGTACTTTCAGATTCTGCTTCTGGTACATCAATTTTATGTGCCCCACTCTCATCGTTGCTTTTTTCACTTTCTCATTATTTTGCACGGTCACGTTGGCTAGTATCTTTTCCCTTATGCCTTTGTATGTAAATCCCGGATTAACAATGTAACAAGAGTTGTGTCGGCCTTTAGCATTTTTATCATAGAATAATTTGATATTTGAATGCATTTCATGACTACCAAGAGACGTGATGTAATCATATAGCTCTTGATCAATAAAAATATAAACAAAATTCTGCTTTCTTATAATTGCACATCTGAAGGGTAATAAATTTTGAATTGTTTTAATCAGCGTTGTTATTAATATCAACATTAATTTATCTTGTTTTTGTGGAGTATTCAAATGCTTACGAAGGAGGAATGTTATTATAACAATGGTCTCAATTTTTGCAAGTTATAAACCAAATAAAATTTGGAACTGGAAGTAGAATCGGGATTAATTTTATATGAAAATACTGTCACGACAATTGATAATTAAATTCTCTTTACCATAACGCACGAGAACGGACAGATTGAAATGTAAACAAACGATAGTAATAAGTAATTAATCATATGTTGAACAATGACATACGGACGTCAACGTAACGATAAGGGTAATACAATAAATAAGATAAATTTTATTACAAATATTTAACGTATATAGGCATGTTGTCACATACCTACATGTATATACGACGTACACATTCTCTAAATTACTCCAAAAATCAAATTTCTGGAATAGTCTCTTATAACTTAAATTACCACCCTAATAATCGACAGTGCAGTAATGTTCGTTTTGTTTCACATGATCTCTTCGCATTGATAAGATTGTCATGAATATAAAACCTTGAAATACGTGAGATGGTTGAAAAGTCTTGATCGCGTGATTGTATTTCACAAATGTACATAATAATTTGCCAACAAATTAAACAAGTCATAGTTTTTTAATTTATACAAAGTTTCAGCTGTCCCTTCTAATTCTCGAATAATTTGCAAGAATCCTCTTTTGGATTGCTTTCAACAACTGAAGATTACAATTAATGTTATTATAACTCTTACTACCTGTCTTTTTCGGCTTGAAAAATAAGGAAAATAAATCTAAACTGTAAAGTGCAAGACGCACATATTCTGTCGTAACAAGTATACGAAGACATTTCTAATTCTCGTGTTATTATATAAGAGTTTTTGTTGCATCAATATTAGCAGCATCATCCTCTATATGCATGATTTGAAGATACGTAATTGGTTGATTTGTCTAAAAAAAATGTTGAAACAAATTCTTAATTATTAATTTAATACAAAATAATCCCCTTTCTTAATTAGACACATTAAAAGTGTTATTTTTATTCATATCAATACCAACTTTGTTAATATTTCTTTACGTTTATGATCACATGTACGTGCATCTCGATCACATGACATTGCATTTAAAATATGCTTACGCTTTTTAAGTTCCATCATAAGACTGAACACAGGGAGGTTGCATTTATTTATCGCACTTTCAAATTACTGAAATTCCTGAAATTTTGTACACACAGTCACTTGACTATTGACTGCGAAAATTTTCGAAAACTCAACCAAGTCTCTATAAACTTCTGCGATTATTTGCCGGCACTTAACACTTTACAGCAATGCTAACAAAATTTGTTGTTATTTAGCTGTTGTATAGCAATATTGGTAATTTATTGGGCACAACATGGTCAAGAATATTAGTGAAGATTTACGTTGAAGGATAGTTTATCTCCATTCCGATGGCTTTTCTCGTAAACGGATTTGCCGTTAATTGTATGTTAGTCAGGCCACAGTTTGAACGTTGGGGAATCCCTTCAAAGGGGATGCGTGGACGTAGAAAAATTCTTGATCGTAACGACATGGCATCGCTCGGAAAAAGGTTTGTATGTTACAACTAGATAAGAAATAGAAAAATCCCACTAAAACTTTCTTGTAGTTACATAAAGCCGCTATGGAAAAGAATGAATTGCTTCGTAGTTCCTTGTCACTAAAATTGAAGAATCATATTCACCCGAGCAACTCATATTCCTTGATGAGAGCGCGAAGGATGTTATCTTTTGCAAGCCGTACATATTTGCTGTGAGAAGCCTAGTCTTCCTTTTTGTACGAAAGTTGAAATTATAACCAATATCTTGCTTTCATCCTGCAAGGACTGCATTTGGGCATGTTTTTGATTGGGGGAGATAATGCGACATAATTCGTAACTTTCTCTCTTTTCAATTACAACTCTCAATTTTATTATTTGTCTCACATAATAAACAAAGCTGACATGCATAACATAAAGCTGTACATATGTATTATATTTCCTGGGTTTGATTTGTGCAGTCATGGTTGAAATATTTGCAGATACTATTTTTTTATTATACGATAATCTATGCATTCCGATTGGCCAATTAGTGTTTTCGAAAATTTTTGTTTGCGTATGTGGGGTTCCATAATTTTGAAAAGTGCGATAAAAAGAATTCACTGTATTAACATATTCTTTTATGGAACTAGAATGAGAAATAATTTAAAGGCTTCTTCAATATCACGTAATAATATTGTAGCGCATTATGGTGTGCCTGCAAATAATCTATGCACAATATTATAAAGTACGGTTCCTGGACAGTCTTCTATTCTTTCTTTGTTGAGACTACGTATTCAGCCGGTGGTCCAGTATGACGGAAGATAAGCGGAATAGTTTTCTAATGAAAGAGAAAGTCTTTTCATTGATTAGAATAAATTTCCTTATTCGCACATGTAGCACAGTTTACAAAGGATAGAATAGATATCAATAAAACCTACGTCAGTGATACGCTTGTTCAACAAAATATTGCATAAAGGAAAACTAACCATAGCCGTTAATCAGAATAACACAATTCAGAATGACACAATTGGCGTCAGCATTATCCATAGTGGGCAGTGTCAATTTGACTAAATCCATTCAAGTCTGTAACAATGGTTTTTTTTTGCTTCTTTTTTTTTTTTTTTGAGAATTGAATAAAGTCTTCAATTGCTGTATGAGCATCTCAACTAACGACATCGTTCTGAAATAAAAGATTCCGATATATCTCGGAGTTACCTTTAAGACCGGTATAACATATTCTGTACACCTCGGGGAACGGTTTTTGTGTCACACCCAGACAATTATATGCGTAATAAAGAGAATTACAGGCTTAGTTAGCAATTGGCTATTAAAGACATCTCCAGAATAAAACATCTCCTATATTTACTCGGGAAATAACTGTGGTAGGGCTCTGCTCCATTCCATAATTAAATCTTTATTCATATATCTGATTGAGCAGCGAATATTTCGAAGGCCACACAATATTTCTGTCAGCAAACTTAAGCCTAGAATGTATTTCTTTGCATTGGATAAGCTTCTATTTTCCATATTGTGATATTACTTTTCGCTTGCTGATGTATAATTAAGTGAATATCTATGTGACCTATCACTATGTCTTTATACGCATAGCTATACACCCGGAAGAGCGACATTGTTAGGGCAAATGAAATCCTTCCGATGTCGAGGGCACATTTCCCTTAGGCCGAGCGTGACACCGAAACTAAACTGATGTTGCTTAGCTACAAATTTTGATTGTGTATGACGCGCGGCGTGGTAATTATTATTGCCCTTTAGAGATCTCATCTCACTTCGTCCTGCCGCGCCAATCAGATTGTGCAAAATTTAATCTAGCCGCACCAATAAGATTTAATCTTTTACCTAATTTATCTAGATTTACCAAATATATGCTGGTTGTATTACAAGGAAAAGCACATTTTCTTGACCTCTGCGGATCCACCCACACAACTCAAAAATCTTCAACACTCGTTTTACTGTCGAACGGTGAATGTAGAGATATCGTGCAATATCTCTCCTTGAATAACCATCTCTAAAGAGATATACAGTACACCATTTGAGATCTGTGCAAGAGGCTTACCCATTATGAGAACTACTACCGTAATCAGCAAGCTAATCTAAAGACCTGTGCTTCTACTTTTTCTATCCTTTTTATTATGTATACTTATGTATTATAGCCCAACATATAAAAACTGTGCCCAGTAATCAAAGTAATCAAGGGAAATTGAGAGAAATCGCTGGTAATCACAGGTAATCACCGCAACTTTGAAAACAGTCCTCGGCTTCTAAAGAGTTCGTTGTAATAAACTCAGCTTCTGGCTTTAGGTAAAAGTGACCGCTGGAGTAGTCTGTTTTGGAAATCACTGAGTAACTGTTTGTACTGACCTTTCTTCGTGAGCGCGCGCGAGTAATCACGTTTGCAAAAAAATTTCGTGTGACTGACAGACAGGGGCCTAGAATTTTGAAAAGGGCAATAAATGTTATATAACGATAACTACTAAACTTCATATATCGGTATATGCATTATTATTTTAATTGTCGTAGATGAAGAACGGATACAGAAATGTAGTCGGATTGAACGCTATAAAAGGATTAAACATGGTATACTATTCGGCCATGAATGCGATTGCTCAGAATCTACGTGTGATTTTAGTTATGAGATACTTTTTATAAGTTCTACAAATAGTTTTAATAAAGCCAATCTACTTAATATTAACTAAATTAACTAAATAATACAGAATGAGGAACCCGAGCTTGATCAAACAAGAGATAAAATAGAACAAAATGTTGATTTGTTGAAAGAGAAGCTTAAGGTAGATACAGTATTAGACAATTTGTTTGTGATTTATCGCAATGTTATAGCTTAATAATCGTTTATTATTACGTTTAGCATCCGATATTAGAAACAGACGTATTGCTCAATAACGCTCTTAGAAAAGAAGTAAACGACATTAATCTTGCAAGTCTTTCATGGACAGACCCTGAAGCAAATGTGGTCTTAAGCGATAAATCGACTATTGTAAGGAGACTAAAAAATCGAGAATTTAATCAAAAAATTTTTTTAATTCACTAAATGATATTATTAGCAACTGCGGGAAAATATGCGATGCACTCTTTCTGAGCAAGTCGCTTCTACATGCGACAAATTTATTGAAAATTTTGCTCAGCAAGATGTTTCGAAAGCTATGAAAAATGTCTTCCACAACAGAAGATGAAAGGAAAGCGATTCGACCTTAGTACAAGTGTCAGAACATATTCTAAGCGTGCTGTAAGTTTTTTTTTTTTTTTTTTTAAGTTTCTAAACAGTTTTTTTTTTTTCACACTAATAGTAATAAGTAATCGATTAGGGGTGAGATTTGGAGCAATCCAGCATTTGCAACAAGAGCATCTTGCCGTGACAAAGTGAAGGAACATACATCACAGTTGTTATACTTCCTTTGCTGCCTAGTAGATCTGCCAATATATCATATATGCTTAAGCACGTGAGTAGAAATATAGTATCTTGGCAATCAGTTTCATGCTGTTATTATTAATTATTTTGTTTCACAGTTTCAGGGCAGAACGTCAAAGTGCTGCAAGCAAAGCTCGAAGAAAGGCTGAGGTTGGATGTGGGTGCAGAGTAAAAGTCCTGATATTATGGCGATAGAGAAATGGGAAGAGAAGATAATCGAGCTTTTATATGTTAAAAGTTCGCGTGTTGTCTGTACTGATAAGAAAGCATCAATGTCATGATGAACGACACTTGCGGGATACCAAGGTATTTCCATCTCTGTGAAGCGGAAATTCCTTTAACAGTATCTAAGTCATCAGGTGTAAAAACCCTCGTACATTTGTTGTTAACATTGAGAAACATCTTACTTGTAAATAAGAGTTTGCTTATGCAAGCTTTAAAACAAGCTGTATCTCGCCCACCTAGAAATGGACATCCCACATCTACTGTTACTTCCCCGCGCCAAGAGAGACAGTGATGTAAATCCTGCACCTAAAGCAAAAAAAAAAATCGAAAAGAAGAAAAAGCGCATTTTTCTAGAGTACCCATTTAATGCTATTATTTACCAATAAAGTTAACCCTAGTACTAGCGATCGATGCTTGCATTTGTATGTACGGCTTTGTCTATGTTAACTAGAATATTATCTTTTTGGGAGCTGCGCCCTCGCGTAATTGTTAATTATTCTGGGATAAAAAAAATATAAGTCACACAGCCTGGTATTTGTCTGTTGTGACTGTTGTGTGGTTGGAGAAGTAATTATGGTATGGAATGCCAGCGATGTTTACAAGATGGTGTTCGACTTCTCAACATAACAATTTCTATGTATTAAACTCGTTGGCGAATGGGATTCAAAAGACAAGGTGATTCTTTATAGAAAGTTAATTAATACAAATACTTTTAGTTAATTGAGCCACTTCTTTTACTCGAAAACATTACGACCATTTGAGAAAGTTTACAAGTCAAACTGGTAACAATTTTTTATTTTCGAGGCCAAATTTTATATAACTTTACATTTAACATAAATAAGATACAGAAACAACAGGTCCAATTCAAGAAATGTCTGTCGACTGTTGTAACGGACACTAAAATCTCTACCTCCAACTAAATTCACTGGGTTTTCGTCGTTTACTGGCCTATGCAAACAACCAATACACAGAAAAATTATCAATCTTTATATGTAGAACGCAAGATTCTATAACCAGTGCATATTCGTGTAATCAATAAATGACCTTTTACAATGGTAGGATTCTCAATTCTGTGCTCGATAATATTTTGGTAGCATTAACATTTCGTTCAAAAGAATAGCATTTTACTTTGTCAAGTTATGGACGTGAGATTTCTGTTGAAGAGCTAAACAAAATGAGCGGGCACTAAGATTAATTAAAGTTATAAAATAAAGTCATGATACTGCGACATATAAGATCTACCATAATTGTCACAATATGCAAGAATTGGATTAAGATAGAACTAGGAGAGAAATAAACACGCGTCATATGGTACATTATTGATAACTTGATTATGTTGAAAATTTGCCAAACTCGGATCAGTAAGCATCAGCTATAATGAATGTACTATTTCTTGATCCACACTGAGTCTAGACTTTTAATCCAGTTGAGTGTGTTAGAAGCTTGCCAACAAATATAGATGCATTCATGACTGCATTGTCAAGAGTCGATGTACATCAAATTAGTAATAGCACATAAATAAGTTGCATTCTGAGTTGGGGTCAACTTCGTATTGACAAGCTAATAAAGAACGTGGACTATTACAAGATAACCAACGCATCATATTGCTCCAACTATTTTACTGTATGCATCGGTCACAGGTTTAGGATTCGTCTATCATAGAATCTTGATCGAACATTCTCACCTGTGGGGTCTTTTTCAGCCGATTAGCAGGTTGAAATAAATCTTTCTGGAGACATTATGATTTCGATAAAAGGGACGAATATTTAGAGTAGTAAATATTATAAATGTATGAAGTTAATTAATGCCCAAGCGTACAATACAATGGATTAAATTATAATCATGACGTCTTTGTGATTAATCTATTTCTCTGTTGGTAATCGGTATCATGATGCTGGTGTTACTTCTACTTACTCATCGTCATCTCCTCATCATCGTCCTCCTCTTCCTTTTCGCTCTCGTCCTCATTCTCACTTTCTGACGTCTCCACGCCAATAGAATTATAACGCAGTGCTAAAACACGTACAATAAGCATATGTTGAACTTTACAACAATATAGTACCTAATTCCTTGTACTTACCCTCTAGCCTCTTCGCTCTCTTTTTCGTTATCCCCCTCAGTCTTTTTTTCAGTTTCCTCTTCGCTCTTAGTAGAATCGTAGAAATTATCTAAAGCCTTACATTCGATCATATGAATCAATAAAGGGCTCGTTTAAAATATAACAAAAATGAACGTAAAGTTTCTGAATACACAGATTGCATTTATATACCGTTGTGTTCCTGACAGACGAGACGGATCGGGCTTTTTGGTAGGCCAGTCGGGCATCGGTTCGTATCCGGGCAAAAGTGTACTTACATGACCCTATTGACTGTTAAACCGTACTCAATTGGTCGGTATATTTACGATATCATCGTATCAGAACATACCCATGCTTAGACTCTACTGCTACGGGGCTTCCTAGTCATAAGCTAAATCGTCTTCATCCTTTCAGTCAATATCTCCACACCTTTCTCATCTCAATCCTTCTCTCTCCTAGTCGGTGATCATCCCTCAACATCCTTGCTCTGTCTCTGATATTGTACTTCACATCATATCGCGGCGCCAAACTCATTATATACTCGTATAACAATCCCAGCATCGGATGCAACAAATAAGCTTGGCAGCCAAAATAATTACTTGGAATTTGACAACATCATCTGAGTTAGAGAAGTTCATGGTAGCTTGCGAAGGATGTATGGAACAACTCGAGTTTTTATGCATATTGTCCAACTAGCCGGACGCGAGCCAAGGACCTTTGCGAGTTTACGTTATCATTTTACATTGAGGTCTTAATTGCTGAAGCCTTTTTATTACTAACTAAACTAATACTCTCCGACTAGGTGTCTGATAAAATGCCATCATATCAGTAGGATAGGGAATGAATAAGATACAACAATCAAATCGGCTATTATTTATATAAGATTAAAGACCAACCGTTTTTGCGACACAACAGTTTCATTAATCCGTTTAGACAGTCCTCGGCCATCTCTGGCATTCCTATTGCACACCACCCAATAGCCTGAATTGCCGAAGTAGCAAAATCTTCATTCAGACTTTTTCACATATTCCTAAATGCACACGAGTGGGCGTGATCAATAAATGTCTGACACGTTTTATGAGAACACACATGAGAAATGTGATATCACTTTCAGTCGCAATCAGTCCCATATCTCTAGTTTCAGTCGTTCTAACAAAGAATTACTGGAAATGGGGCTTGAACAAATTCTAAATAAAAAAAGTGAAGTATAATTGATAAGCACAGTATTCATATATAATATTTTCTCGCCAGTCTTTGCTCGACTCATACGCACCTGCCACTGAGTCATAACACTCTTGAGAAACAACGTATTCCGATGAAAACTGTGGAGTGACTTTCCCATCTTATATGTTTCTTATTCGGATGCAAAATAGTAAAACATTTTCGACCACCTGGTAGAACCATCTTTGATAAAATGCAAATTCTTATTAACCCATAAGCATATATAGTCCTCTCATATTTAACAACTAATATTTACAGCAGTGTTCCGACTTTGAAGTAAGTCAAGATCTGGATCCAAAGAATAAAGCTTGTCAACAGATGATGAAGCTTAATTCCCTACAATATGAAATATGATCACGAAATTTAGGCTTTCTTTAACGCCTTTCGTTACCACATACAAAATTATAAACAGTCCGTTATTGACATGATTGCTCTACTTTAGAACTAATGCTATACATTACAAAAACAACAGAACAACAACAGCCTACCTTGCATATCCTATACCTATCAACAGACCTATTATTGCTATCTGTCCCTATTCTTCAGCGGGTGAATTAAATCCAGTCTCTCTGGGGTTCATTACATGCTATTATCACACTTCCGATTGTATATTAATATCAGCAAATTCCATTCGGTCTCCCTTTGTTAGGACAACAATCTGCACAGGACATAGGTACAGACAGACACATAATTTTCGGTGACAGCAATCCACAAATTTTATCCGTACCTGAAAAAAAAGTGCCCCCCGTTCACATTAAGAATTTTTATATTTATCTTTTTTATTATTATACTATCTCTATCAAATCATCGCTAATATGTTCTAAAATTATGAACAAGATATATAAATTGTTAGTAGTACTGCGAAGCTTCGAGACTTTGCCTTCTCAGTTTCTACCAGCCGCAGAGCGAGGAATATAACAGATATATTATTCATGATTAGTTGTTAACTTAGTAAAATATCTTAAATTTATCTAATAATCGTCATACAATTTCTGAGGTTGTTTTATTTTTTCCAAGTAGGTATTGTCGTGCCGACTACTGCGGGAGAGCAGAAAGTAATCGACACTTGGGATTTAACTAGTCTCTGGCGCCTCCTATTCAAGTTAAATATCTAAAGGTACAGTTAGTGACCTTGTCAATGTCAAGGCTTTTAACTTACGGACTATTTCACCGTAGAATGACGTTAATCCTAGATAAGTAATCGCTCTCGAGTGTATCGTCGGTTATTATCGAGGAGAGGGATTACTCCGATAATCTCCCGTCTGGGGTACAACGAGTATAAATCATAATAATGCGCATCTACATAACAATTAATTATCGTAATTTGCCCTCGAATAATCGCGGACAAGAGGCGATTATTATTCATCGATATAGGGATTAACGGTTTCTCAGCTATACCGATAAGTTACCAGGGAATGAATCATTAACAATATTTAAACAGTGATAGAATTAGCTGCTAAAAATAGATCAATTATTCCGTTCGAAAGATATATAAGTAGCTTAGATTTCAGTTAGATAGAAGCAGTCAATAAGTACATGTTTAGCATGTTTAATTACTCTCGATTCCTTTATTGTAAATAAATGAGTAGTTCTTTATACTCTGTTCTATCACTGTTCTGTCACTGTTTGTACTAGTGACGGACTAGTGCTCGTACCACTAGTACTATTACTATAGTGCTGAAATGTTCGTAACCGTACGAGAGAATACACGTACTTTACCGTACCGTTTATAGCGTAGCATCACAGTATCATGATCTGGGGTATATTGCAAGGCAAACATTTTTATACATTCTTCAGTCTATGTGTGAGCCTGCAGCTAGTTTACCCATAAATAGGCCCACAGATGAACAAGGTTTCTTTACGGACACTCTGATGATATATTAATATGTCATCAGCAGGAAGGAAAATCGTTGTATTTACTGGAATAGTAGATGGCGTAGTGAATGGTTTTTAATCATGTCTTTAACTTCTTTTCCATTTCCTTCAGAACATATAGGACTTTGCCTTCCTACAGGAATCCAGTTGGGATCAATGAATGGAAACTGTTCATTTGCATCTCTTGCAGTTTGCATTGAATAAATGTGAAGCTTTGTACACCCTTTCTTTTAGTTTTGTTCAATGGATGGCAGCATATTCATAGCTGGATTCAAATGAAGGTAAGATTCCTTCCTCTAATCAATTGGAAGATAGTAAGAACCATAATAATAACTTGATATTTATGGGATCTTGTAGGCAGTCTTCAGATGCTTAATGCAGCAAATATGTCAAGATATAAATAAGCAAGTGGCATCCAAATCAATAATAGCTTGATTTGTTTTGAAGGTGGAATCAACAATCAGTTCAGTCACATAAATAAGCACAAGCACAAAGACAATTAATATGTAAGAAAGGGGAAACTATATAAAATGAAAGCTATATAATAAAAGATTGATTCTTTGCATACTTTGTTTTATTTATTAATCATAATTAAAATAAAGATCTTATTCCGAGATACTTGGCAAGGCGTCTCTTGCGAGTAGTAAGGTTTCCATTTGTTGGTTGACCATAAGCAGCCAGTAATAAGGTAATTTCAGTAGACTGTGCATTCTTAATAGCATTGAAATCTTGCAGAAAATTAGGAGGAATAACACCTGCATTTGTATTTAAAGGTTCAATAGCAGTTCGATCATCAAGGATTGTGAAATTTACAATGCGAGCTTGTGTTCTCTGCTCAACTAAAAGTAAAAGAAATTTAGTTAAAAGTAACTAAGAAAATGATAAGACAGAAGTTTATAGACATTCTATACTGGAAATTACATACGCTGGTCAATTGACTGAGTGAGAGCTTGTTGTTGTCTAGTAAAGTCTTGTTGTTGTCTAGTGAGGTTTTGGATTTGTGTAGTGAGGGCTTGGATTTGTGTAGTGAGGGCTTGGGTTTGTGTAGTGAGGGCTTGGAGTTGTGTAGTGAAGTCTTGTTGTTGTTTAATGAGTTGTGTAGTGAAGTTTTGTTGTTGTCTAGTGAGGCTTTGGATTTGTGTAGTGAGGTTTTGGAATTGTGTAGCTGTGGCAACTACCGGAAGGTTCTGGAAAGCATTCGCAATATTTGTGAGATTGGGTTGCGCCATTTGTCCCGAATAATAGCAGCGAACTGATACTGTACCAAGGGAAATCAAACAAATTACGTGTATTTAAATATGAACACGTCGCGAATAACAGTCGGTGAGATTTCCCGATTCGTCAATGGAGATCGTTCTTTTTATGGTAAGAGATAAGAGTTCATTGAAAAACTTATTCGGATGCACCAGAGTCAAAATCGGAGGGGCGGAAATGAGTAATGTGTCGTTGAGTGCCAAATGTGTACTGATTATAGCAAGATTTACGTTTTCTAAATTGGTGGGGGACATCAAACAAAAATCAATGCATTTCAAACTTAAAATTTCAAACAATAATACAAGCATTACTGTATTAATAATTCAAAATTTAAGAACGCCATTTTGTTCTTCTTGATAAATTATGTTTAGAAAATTGACAAATGCTACATGTGGTTGAGATATAACTGTTCAAAGTTTAGTTAATTTACAGTTGACACTGTTTATACCGGACTGCCCGGCTGAAGAGTTTTCGTTTGTTATAACCCGAGTGTTTGCTATAACCCGAGATTCGTTATATCCAGAGTTATTAATTATAAAAAATCGGTTCTGGCAATTTTGTTTCGTTATATCCAGAGTTCGGTATAAACAGGTGGTAACAGTGTCATCCGTATATAGTGAGCAGAAATTTGAAGCAGCCTTTTCTGGTAAAATCTATCTTAATTTCTTAAGGCCTGCGTTGTGAAATTTATTGAGACTCTTACTCATAACGAAAAGAAAGATTAACATAAAAAGAGAAAAGCTTTTTAAGTGCGCCGATTTGGTCTGCTAGGCGCATCCTATTTATCGATCGATCGAAATTGCGGATGAAGAACAAATGTTACGGTTGAAGCCCGAAATTTGCAGAAAGAATTATGACTTCGCAATCTAAGTTTTCAAATCAGCATCAAAGCCACGATGCAATACTTGAAGAAATAAACAAAGCACTCAAATCATTAGTTCCTCTGCACCTTCATAGCAGCATTGAGAAATCGTGGCACGTAATTGTACTAAATTTGTGACGTTACGTACCAATCTTTTTAATATAATAGGATATTCTGAAGGTGAAACGCATAGGCCTCGTACACGTCCTAGCTTTATTACTGAATCGCATAGATTTTGGGTTCGGATAAGAAAGACACAATTTGTAAATCCGAATGCCTGTGATCATGTTTTTCAGGATATAAGCGGTGAATGGATACTAAGTGAAAAAATGAAAAAATTTAGTGAAATTGCACGGACGAAAAGAATAGATTTTATTAAAGCGCGGAGACATCACTAGTCATCTGGCAACCAATTCCAGTAACATGTGAAGCAGATAATCAAAAAGCTGAAAGTTCGTTAACAAAATCACGATTTTATCCATTATTAACTCTTTGATACCCTTTGTAGGTGATTTAGAACGATCCCGTTTTAGCAAGTAAATCCTGTGATGATTTAATGAGCGTTCTTCAGGATGTTAGAAATATGTTATCCGAAAGCATTATTAATACTAATAAAGAAGATTATTATGTTTTCAGACTTTTTTTCTCGAATGTTCTGTAATAAATCTAGAAATTTCTAAAAAAAAATTTTCGCTACTAAAAAAGAATAACCTGCATAGTCAAATACGTCTCGGACTGTATTCTGTCACGTGCAAATTTTTTATTTTAATTTAAAAGCTTACTATCTCCTATAGTCACACAGTTGGGACTTATAGTCATGTGACTGTATTATTATTAGATAACAAATTAAAAATCAACGATATTATATCGGTATCTAACTAGCACTAAAGTAAGCATCAATACTTTGTTGACGCTTGATTGAGGTTAAGTAAATCCATATACTTGCAAATTTTATGCTTATTTTCTATACTCAGTCGACATGCAGACGTTATTAAGTTGATTATGTTATACCCAAATATAAAAAGCATGATATGACTAATAACACGTGCATTTACTGGTCTTAAATGTAAGACAAGTATTTGGTGAAAGGGGTAACGGGGATTCAAATCGGGTGACTGTGACTAATCACTATGAAAATGACTAGGACCGTGACTGTAGGGGATATTCTTATTTACTGTACAATATGCATTTTGCAATAACAGATAAGTCCGAACTCGGGACCAGACAAAAGTATGCATTTTATATTATGCATGACATAAATTAAATTGTCATCCTGCCACGTGAAAAAATTTTATATAAAAGCTACTACCTCTCGACTATCTCTCTCCAACTCTGCAGACGCGACTACCTTATTTAAATAATCTGTTGACATAATTATACTCCCCTCGGAACAAATGGCGCAACCAAATCTTACGAATATTACGAATGCTTTCCAAGTACTTGCAAACGAGTTCTCTAACGTACAGAACCTTCCGGTAGTTGCCACAGCTACGCAGATCCAAAACCTCGCTACGCAAATCCAAAACCTCGCTACACAACAACAAAACCTTACTACGCAACTCACCAGACAACAACAAAATTTTACTACACAACTCCAAGCCCTCACTATACAAACTCAAACCCTCGCTACACAAACTCAAACTCTCACTACACAAATCCAAACCCTCACCAGACAACAACGAGACCTCACTAGACAACAACAAGCTCTCACTCAGTCAATTGACCAGCGTATGTATAATATTTTGGATTTCAGTATAAAATGTCTATAGACTTCTGTCTTATCATTTTCTTAGTTACTTTTACTAAATTTTTTTCATTTTTAGTTGAACAAAGAACGCAAGCTCGCGTTGCAAATTCCACAATCCGTGACGATCGAACTGCCAACATCGAGCCTTTACATACGAATGCAGGCGATATTCCTCCAAACTTTCCGCAAGATTTCAATGCTATTCGGAATGCACAGTCTGCCGAAATCACCGCATTACTTACTGCCTATGGTCAACCGACAAATGGAAACCTTATTACTCGCAAAAGACGCCTTGCCAAGTATCTCGGGATAAGATCGTTATTTTAATTATTATTATGAAACTAGAGATGCTTGAGACATGCTTCGCAGAGATTTGTGTTAATTGGTTATATCTTTTGTGGGGAGGATCGATTCATAAAGTAGTGGTTGTACGGTGTTATATTGTAATTGTCTGTAGAGTTTTATTTTTGTTCGCGAGGAAGATGGGATTATGAATGTAGATATTCGTTGATTGAGTTTGGTTAATTGAAGTTGTAAGTAAATTACTTATTATATAGTTTGCGTTGTCATATTTTTGTTATTTAATATACTATTTAGACTATAGTTGGATATGTTCTGGCTCAGATGCTAGCCATTGTACATTAATAATGTTATTGGTATTAATGGTGGGTGCTCGGTAAAGATGTAGTGACATGGTTAGAATATGGAATTCTCGATACCACGTATATAGTAATAGCGATGAAAATGTAAAGTTAGGAATCTATCGTCTAGCACGTAGCTTGACAATAAAGCCATTGATTTACTTATGATAACAAAACTGCGGCCTGATCTTCTGTTGAAACAATCTAATGAACTTGTCATATCGTTATCGTGAAATTGATTCTCTGCACCATATTTATCAGAGGGGTTTCCAGGAAAAAAAGATTAAATACTCTCGATCAATAAGCAGTATTATTCCCGATATTAAAAGAAAATAATAGTAAACGAAAACTTCGGATTGCAATAAGTTCTTCTTCTTTTTTTAATAATTGGCTTTTGATACGTTAAGAATATGGAATTGACACACTATGACTAACATATATATGCATACACCATTTTGATAATGCTAATGTACGAGATGATCGGATTAGAGATTCGAACTGTAATTAATAGTCGAGCGACTTGTTGCTATTATTATTGTCATTGTTGTTGTATTATTGTCGTCGTCGTCGTCGTCGTTGATTTTGGAACAACAAAGCTTGAGTTTTGAACGCCGCAGTATAGAGTGTTGTCATATAATTCGACCGCGCCGTTGATTTTTATCCGACTACCCAAGTGGTAGACTTTCATATGACTTAAAAATATTTATTTTGTGGGGAATGGAATGGCATGACTATGAATGTCTCGAATGAACCTTACGATCCATTTTTAACGTACCGGGAGACAGCAACGTCGATGATACAAGTATCTGTGATGAGCGGGGTTTCGCTGATGGATCCGGCAGCGGTGACGTATGTAAAGTCGTTTATGTGTTCGGGCCAGATAGGCTTTTTGTGTGAAAGCACAAGATGTTTATAGTTTGTGTTGTAGAATCTATTTGGTGACTGATCCATGGAAGTATATGGTGTCTTGAGGAGAAAGATGAATCAATTTTTAATTTATCCGAAGGAAAATGGCGGAATCGGTTGTTTTGCCTAAAAATTAATTGCAAGTCGTTCTTATGTTATCTGAACAACGATTTATTGTACTCGATATAACAAAATTAATTATGCCAATCAAAATCTTCCACATCAACTTTTATTAATACATGAACTTTTTTGTTCCATTTTTTGTGTCTTTGATGTTGACGCTAATTTGGCGGGGTATCAGTAAAATATGTAATCATTTCAAACGTCTTTTTTAATATTTTTTTACTAAATATGATGGTATTGATTTTATGTGCTTTTAATAAAATATGATAACCGGGAATTTACCTGCCATGTCGCATAACCTGCCAGGTCGTGCAGGCTCAAATATTGTCCCTTCACTGGACACTCAGATGGCTTCTCCCCCATAAATAGAAATATTATGGACGGTACGACGTGTCGGGTTGTGCGACCTGGCAGGTAAATTCCTGATAATTAAAATATGCATAATTATGAAATTCGGGTTTTTTACTAGTCAACTTTGTAGTTGTCTTTTTCTTTGTTACTAACAAACACCATTACTATTGTATGATCATTACAACCGGAACCAACAAAAGCAAAACAACCTAATAACTTAAAATATTTAATCAAACCAAGTTTTGTCCGAGTAGTTATCCAAAATGAAAGGGGGATTTTTGCTCTTGTGAAATATATACTAACTCTTAGACTAAAGTGGATACAGTGAAACCTCTTTATGTCGGTCTGTTCCGTCCACGGAACTTTTGCCGGTATAAGGGAGGATACACAGCAAACCTCGTTATAGTAAACCTGTCGGGTCGGGGATTTCTGTTTACTATAACGAGGATTTATTGTATCGAAGTTTCGCGATATAACAAATATTTGCTATATCGCAAACTCTTTATTTACCGGCAAATACAGTCTACCTCAACATTAATTATCATCTGACCATTATTAATTAGAATATTTCAAGAAGTTAATGAAGCTGTATAATTGACGATGTGCTACATCAAATTCGTTAAACAAAATCTAATGCCTTTTTTTGCAATATAGCACCAGTAACAACTTGTGACTCACCACTAGCCACAATGCTAATGCTTTTTCAATTCTGGGGTAGTTAGGAGGACGCTGGCACTTAACTCTAGCCTCAAAATAATCTTCAACTTTGTTTAATTGCGCCTAAATAAAGACCTAGAAACCTCAACTTTGCTTAACCATTTTTCTTTATTATGCAACTTGAGCTGTGCTAATACCGAATTCTTTAACAAGCACATAGTTTTTTGTTGAAAGTAGACTGTTAGCTTTCTTTTCACATAATCGCTTTTTTTGTGTATTGTACAGATGTTCTAAGCACATAGTATTAGTATGATAATGACGGTATTTGCAACTTTCTTTATTTCGTAAAAACAACTTGGTTACACAAATCAACCAAAAATTTGATTGGTTGTTATGATTGATGATTTACTATAAAGCGATTGTTTTACTTATGCAAAATCTGAAAAAAGTTTACTGTAAATTTACTATAACGAGGTTCACTGTGTATATAGAATAGTACAGGTAATCAATCAGTACATACTTAATTTTTATTCAACTCAATTCGATCTTTCACAAAATCATCTGACTTTTTGCTTAAGACTTTCCACTTTTTTTTAAATCCATACTACGTCGTAAACGCTGTCAACTATGTATATCTTCCCGTGTAATAAACGAATTATCTGGCTGCTGTTTGATAAACTCAGATATTGTGTTAAGGCCGTATCTTTTTTGGAAGACACAAAAATGACATTATTTAATCACAATTGTTTGTTGCACAATTGACCGGTATAAAGAATATATTTTATAAACTTCCGTCCGGTGAAATTTTGACCGGAGCCGTTATAGAAAGTTTAATTAGTGATGACCAGGAAAAATCATAATTAAAGAATGTTCCTGGAATTTAGGCAGATATTATTATATAACTAGATAAATTTATGAGGGGGCTTCGCCCCTGTATTGACATTAATATTTAGAACAGAGTTGCTGAGAAGAACCGTCGTAAGCATGATGTATGTAAATAGTGGTTATTTATACAAATTATATATACGACAAAAAATTATATGTATTTATTGCTTACAATAATGATAATATCGATGAAAAAAACCCTTTACGATTTCTGATATTCGTATAAACATCGCATCGCCTGTTTATCGGTTTAACGTACCGACCGTGTAGAGATATGATTTTTGCAAATTTAAAATTCCCAAGAGAAAACTTTCTCATACGAAAAAAACCATAAAATTGAAATTCAATCTCTTTCTAAACTACCAAATCTAAACCATTTTTATTCTAGGTAACATTGAATAAACCGCTGATTAAATTTAGGTTCGATTTTACAGACAGAAAAAAGGTTACATAGTGAAACTCGATAAGTCGAACACTCGATAAGACAAAATCTCTCGCCTCTTTTTTTCATATTTAAAATTTTCTCAACAAGTCGGACGAGATATATAAACACTGTAAGTCTCATTAGTCAAAAATGTTACTTACCGATCATTTGTTAGTTGACGATTTATCATTTTTGTTGTCATTTGATGATTTATTGGCATTCTTGTAATTTAAAGAAAATGTTTATACCTTGTTATGCTATTTCATTTGACGATTTAGAAAGACGTTTTTGTAATTTAAACAATTTTTTATACGTCTTTATATCATTGATAATTGTATTTGATGGTTTCATTCTACGATTATTTGCATTTCGAAATAGCACAGCGTGTTTATCTATTTCAGAAAATGTATAAAAGGCTAATGTCCGTCCTAACCTTTAATATTTTGAAGTGATTGATACATGAGCGATCTTTTTTCAGATAGGGCGATCAAGGTCGGTTTTGGATTGTCATGGAGATTTGATTTGTTGATGTATATTGAGGGATAAAAAATCAAAATTATGAAGCTCAATATAGAGCTTATTGTCATAAACGTCCAATTTGCCTACTTTTTCTACCAGTATTGTGACGAACTGTTACCTCAAATTCTGCTGGACGGATTTCAGTACCAGTACCGGAGATATATTGTGTGGTTTGGACAGAGAATATTGTTGTATTATTACGAGTTTGTGTTGGAGCTTTGATAGCGCCGATCGTTCGTATCGACAAGCATTTTGTTTCGATAATTTTCATTATTCCGCGTGATTTCTCCTCGTCTTGCTGCATCTGCTTCAAATATTCTCATATATTATGCTATTGAATGCCAGATAGACGATATTACTGTAAGATATTTAGACCGACACCCAAATCCTATTGGGCGAGTATAGTAAGTAATGACTACTGCCAACCAATGAGATAGTATAGATAATGCTAATGTTGCCGAAACGTATACTCGTTTTTTTTTCAGCAGGATCGTTGTTAACAGGGTCCAAATTAATTAGTGGAGCGGCTGCATCTAACTTATTGTCTGGATTTTTGCCTACTGTTTTTCCTTTAATCATTCTTACAAGGAGTGCTGGAAATGTCCATTGCAAATAACAACGGAATAGAGGTTGAGACTTTATCGTCACTTTGATCGGTCAATCAGCCTTGCTTGTAATTGAATGTCAGTGTACGGTCTTGGTATTTGTCTGCCTTCGATATCGTCGGCTGGATCGCTGCGTACTTCACGTTAATGTATTATGCTCCGTCTTTATCCTCCATTTCTTCGTTATTATTATAGTCGTTAGTGAGGAAAGGTTGTATAAGTCAGATACTTTTATCATGTAGTCGTTGTTATCAGGAGAGAATTCAAATGCCACTGCATATTACCTTCTTCTTCTTCACCATATCTTTGCATATAGATAGATTCTTGGAAGTGTATATCTACGCACAAGTAACCTTTTGGGTTCAACTTAATATATTAGTCCAACTATGGATGTTCCATGAGCATACTCACTTGTCGCATATGGATCTACGAAAATGTACCTTAATTATTTCCTTACAACAACAACTTTCATTATCACATATAGATCTTTACGTCATCAATTACAAACATTACAGCGACCACCTCCAATTACGTTTTGAAATAACGGATCTACCTGTATATCGCTATCAAATTTCATCGAACCTGTGACAAATACTCCGTCCACTCCAGGTTATCTTAGTTAACAAAAGAAACAATAAACACACCACCCGCATTGAATTCCACAAAACAAAAAACCGATGAAATTACAATGGAACATCATCCAAACGACAATATAAATGAAAATCAACCATCTGAACATACCACTAACACTAAAAAATCTGCAAATTCTATAGCAGAACTGTCAACATCTACGATTAAAATCCCAAAATATCCCAAACGAACCCTCCGTAAAAGAGACACAAATTAAATCACAGACTTATAATTGTAATTATCAATTCATTCAATACTATATGTATGCAATCACAAATTTCACTACAATAAATTATATCGTCAGAACCACGAAAAGTTACGTGTACCACCTACGAATATGATCATCAACTTGCAACGAATAATTTATTTATCCAATCAAATATTTCCAACGTGTATCAATATTCTTAGCGGATTACACATAGATCAACTAATGCTAATAACATTGATACAAAACTATAACAGTTACAAATATGCAAATCATAACTTATTCTCTGAAATATAATTCAACACACGCAACTTTGTTATTCTTATAGACTTACTTCATTATTTTAACATATAACTATACCATAATGAACATATACCATTATTCAACAAAAACAAAACATCGTGTATGGAGCGTGCCACTTGTTACCATCCTAGTTTAGTTGATTATAATTAAAATAGAGATTTTATTCCGAGATACTTGACAAGGCTCTCTTGCGAGTAGTAAGGCTTCCATTTGTCGGTTGACCATAGGCAGTAAGTAATGCGGTGATTTCAGCAGACTGTACATTCTGAATAGCATTGACATCTTGAGGAAAATTAGGAGGAACAGCGCCTGCATTTGTATTTAAAAGCTCGATGTTGGCAGTTCGATCGTCACGGATTGTGGAATTCGCAACGCGAGCTTGCGTTCTTTGCTCAACTAAAAATAAAAGAAATTTAGTGAAAAGTAACTAAGAAAATGATAAGACAGAAGTCTATAGACATTTTATACTGGAAATCCAAAATATTATACATACGCTGGTCAATTGACTGAGTGAGAGCTTGGTGTTGTGTAGTAAGGTCTTGCTGTTGTCTAGTGAGGCTTTGGATTTGTGTAGTGAGCGCTTGGAGTTGTGCAGTGTGTCTAGTGAGTTGTGTAGCGAGGTTTTGGATTTGCGCAGTGAGGTTTTGGAATTGCGTAGCTGTGGCAACTACCGGAAGGTTCTGCACGTTAGGAACTTCGTTTGCAAGTACTTGGAAAGCATTCGTAATATTTGTAAGATTTGGTTGCGCCATTTGTTCTGAGGGAAGTATAATTATGTCAACAGATTATTTAAATAAAGTAGTCGCGTCTGCAGAGTTGGGAGAGATAGTCGAGAGGTAGTAGCTTTTATACAAAATTTTTTCACGTGCCGGGATGACAATTTAATTGTACGTCATGCATAATAATAATACAATGAAACTCCTCTAAATGCATAATTCTTCTAAGTGCATTGCGATGCTACGCAAATCAATTTCTGCGTTCCTCCGACGATGCCGCAGCAACCAATTCGATCGGCAGTAACACCAGCGCAGCTGCGGAAATTTGTAGTAGGGATACAAACATTGCGGGAGCACAAACAGCACTGCACTGCGGTGCAAAACGTAAAAGATGTATGCTGAGAATATTCAATAGTTGATTAGAAATAGCTGCTCAATTAGACTGATCAAAAGATATAAAGTATAAGCAGCATGGATTTTAGCTAGATTCAGGTGTTTTGCAATGTAAATTTGATTCCTAATATTCCTTATTCTCTAAATTGGTTGATATATCTGAGAAACCGTTAAATCCGTATATCAATGCCCTCTTGTCCCGCAATTATCTTCATGGCGAATTAAGATATTTTAGAAACGCGTTTATTTTTATTAATATACCATTGTGACGGGAGAATATCGAATTTATCAACCGACAAATTATCTCGAGTACGTCGCTCTACGACGTAAGTGGGAAAGCCTTGAATTAACGAGGTCACTAATTGTATTCAGAAGTTTAACTGGAGTAGGAGGCGCCAAGTTCCGTCGATACTGCCGATTATTATCCGCTCTCCCATGATAGTCGGCACGACAGCATACTTTTGTCTGGTCCCGAGTTCGGACTTATCTGTTATTGCATAAATCCTCTAAATGCATACTTTTGTCTGGTTCCGAGTTCGGACTTATCTGTTATTGCATAACTCCTCTAAATGCATACTTTTGTCTGGTCCCGAGTTCGGACTTATCTGTTATTGCATACACCCTTTGAATGCAATATTGTACAGTAAATAGGAATATTAAATGAAGAAACAGTAAATTAACAGAATATTATTCCGATTCGTCACAGTCAGGGAGATTTCCCGTTTTGTAACTCACACAACGACCTCCCGCACAACTTGGCAAAAGCAATAAAATTTACTAAAAAAGCAAATACTAAAAATAATAATTCTAATGGTACGGAACATGTCAAAGAAAGTATTGCTCAAACAAAAAGGTAGGGAAATCAAAACGGTTACTAATTTATTTTATCAATCTATAGCTTGTAGATAACTGAAACCCGAAATAACCGAATATAAATAACTATTTGACGACGACGTTACATCACAGACTCCGCTTCTATATACAAGGTAATTCAATCCATCGGAAACATGGTGTGAGGCGTTGAATCCTTCCATATACGTTCTCGAACACGTTTATTCTCTCTCTTCTTTATATCTGCCATATTACGAGCCCCTTTTTGATGCATCCATTAAAACTTTTACATGTCGCAAGATCCGGCGTTAAATTCACTATGCATATGTGACAAATATTCCTCCAGTTTGGACTTCCGTCAGCAACTCGGGACGATTGCAGAACTCTGTTCAATTTCCAGGCACTCGTTTGTGATTCAACATTTTCGAGAGGTTTCAATATCAAAAAGAGATATTCATAATTACGTTTAGACTCCTCATATATCAAACGGTTAGCTGTGTCACCCACTGCTTTAACCAAATGTTTGCATAGCATATAAGAATCGATTCTGAAATGAAGGACAACTGCAAATAATACCGGTCCTGAACATATTCATCAACGCTTTTCTCAACACATCGCTTCCACACCTTTTTAAAGTCTTTCCACCAGTGAGGATATATTCTGCCATTCGAGAGCTGATAGAATCTGAGACATTGTACAGGAAGTAACTTTTACACAAGACATAGATAACATAATATAATGGCAGATGATGGAATCTATATAGGTAATCATGCTTGAGTACCTTCCAGTGTGATTTTATTATCATATTGGGTTTCCCAAAAGGTATTTTTGGATAACAACTTCTCGCCCACTGACTCTTTGTGTACCATGAAAAGTATAGGTAATGCCATAATCGCAGATTACTGTGATTCATAAACTTCCTTGAACTAGCTTACACCTGGGAGAGCAGCGGTGCACTAGCCGTTTTGGGATTTAGTTTGTTTCCAACGGAAGCTTTTGCTCTACCTACTTTAAACTAAATGTCGTACAATTGGTGACCGATTTACTACTCACGATGTATATTATCGCTTTTCTATGCGCTGTCCCTGGATTATTGTTTAAACTCGAGTATCTCAGCGATTTCCGTGATGGGATTAGATTCACGGTCTATCGGAACGGGGATTTAAATGTGTTAACAATTAATTAAACAACAACCCTAATTGCAAAGGTACTAAATAGAATTTATTGGCAAGATTGATTCTATTCGCCGCTGACGGGGAAAGCGTTTTAACACTTCGCCAAACGATGCAAGTATCTTTTATCAGGGAATAAAACGAAATAATAAAGATTATATTGAATTGGATATTTATTAGATTATAAGGAACTATCTAATAGCAACGTCTTGCTGAATGATCTGAAAATGATTTTTAGCTACTATCTACGACTCGTATTTATAACTAACTAGCGTTTTACTAAACTGTCCAAATTTAAGATGGGGTAAGTTGTGTCTGTCCAAACTTTCAGTCTAATCCGGACAATTTAATTTTAACTGTCCAAACTTTTGGATATATCCAGATAGTCTGTGTTTGTCCAAGTTTTTGGCCTATTCTGACAACATTCTGTGCCATGTCGCGATCGATCTTGGATTTCGTATCGGAGATTTTCGTGTGACGGAGCGGAAATCACGGAGGAATACGTCGTACTTAGCGCCAAAAGTATGAGAGCGAGATGGTGAAATTTTGTGGGTCTTTATTAAGTGGGGTGACCCTTATTTACTGCGTTGTGGTTTATTTAGGTGAAATATCACAGATGTTATTAAGGAGCGTCATCAAAATGTTCACTTTGGGACACCATATAGTCTCTTCAAATGGCATCTTGAAAATTTGATCTGCATTTCTCGGCCAATCACAAGAAATACTACTGTACAAGAAAAATGGGAATAGTAAACTGGTTTAAACATGTCTTCCGAGGAAATCGCTCGCAAACGACTAAATGCAATTCAACAACAACTCACCCGTTCGACTGGTCCGGCAGACTTGTCACGAGAGCGAGCCAATGCATCATTTGATGTTAATCAAATGAAAACATTCTTCGCCGGAGGGAAAGAATTCTCTGAAGCAATGGTAAGAATTTATCGTAAGCTGAGCGAAAGTTCGGGGCACTAACATTAAATTTTTGTATGGCAGGACGATGCGTATAGGTTTATACAACGTGATCCAGAATTGTATTTAGGCGATGAATATATTTTCGATGCGTCTGTGACGGAGCAGCGTGAAGCGTAAGTATCCAAGGATGAAAGCGACAGACGCAGACAACAGACATTTGAGTGAATTAGCCATATACATAAATTAGAACCATGCGACAGTTGAGAAGATACGTTGAAGTGAGAGATATGCTGAAGAGTTCACTACTTGTCCGTGCATTTCACGATGCTATGTGGTAAGTTGAACGTAAGTTTGACAGATTTTGTAAAGTGTGATTGAACATTCTCTTGACATTTTGGTCGCATATATAGTCAATACTCGGAAGCATTCAGCATGAGATTGTATGTACACGAAATTCTTTTCCCTCAAGCTTTGAGATTATTTGGCACTTCTGAGCAATACAGCGAATGGATCGATGACTTATTAAGTTGGCGCATTATTGGTTGTTTCGCTATGGTATGATTAAAACAGAAATAGAGATATTCAGAATTTAACCACCTGGTTGTGATTATGTAAGCATTCAATTAATGCATATGTAAATGGTTGTTCACCACAGACCGAGTTAGGATATAGTTCTTTCTTACGTGGATTAGAGACAACAGCAACTTTCGACAAGAAGGCTGATGAGTTTATAATCAATTCTCCCAGCATTTTATCAACAAAATGGTGAGTAATTTTTAACAAGCCAATTATAGCTTTATTAGTTGTTATTATTCGAGAGATAATTCACATCCAAATCGTTTTAAAAGGTGGGTTGGGATGGCAGGAGAGACAGCAACTCATACAATTGTACTTGCTCAGACAGTTGTTGATGGAAAAAAATGTGGGATAGACTGGTTTGTGGTTCCATTACGCAGCAGAAAGACAGGCCGCCTGGTTGCAGGCGTAGCTGCCGGTAATATTGGAACCAAGTATGGAAGAAACGGTCTTGATAACGGTTGGATACAATTCTCTGGCATACGTATACCGCGAACAAACATGATGATGAGATGGGCGAGCGTCTCACCAGATGGCAAATATCACCCATCTCCCAACCCAGCATTATCGTATGCACCTCTAATCGGGGAAAGATTAGAAGTGATAAGGGCCACGATTTCAACAGCTTCCCGGGCACTGACTATTGCATGCAGATATGGATGTGTGAGGAGGCAGGGTGCAAACAATGAGCAGATTATGGACTTTCAATCCTATTACGTACAATTAATGCCTGGAATCGCTGGTCTCTATGTTGCAAATATAATCGACAGGTAAGCTGCCTGAACTATCAAATTTCATGAATATTATAGGCCTAACATAGCATTATTTTGAATAAAGAATTACGGGCAGCAAATGGAACAAACTCGTAGATAATGTCGATGACGGGACTTTGTTTCTTAATAATATCGCGGATATTCATGGCATATCGGCGGGATTGAAGAGCATCTATGGATGGTGGGGAGTAGACATACTAGAGTTTTGCAGACGATCGTTGGGAGGTCATGCATATTCATCGTATAATGCTATTGGAGAATTTATACAAGATTTTTCCCCCATTACGACTGGTAAGTATAAATGCTTGCAAATGAAAATAATAATTATTTGAAAGCATGACAGAGACAGCAGGGTTTATCGAATTTTGTTGGTCATTTGCACAGGTGGTGGAGACAATTACACGTTGATGAATCAAGCAGCGGTATGTAAACTTTTTATTCATTGGTTATGACGATTACCTGTCTTTGTTTCATTGTTTAATTTTCTCTTTCACTTGTATGATGAAGAAATATGTATTGGGGTCGCTGAAGATGGCATCCAACGGCATCAAACTTGAGGGCTCTGTTGCATATCTCAATAATATACAAGAGGCTCTCTCCCGATCAAATAGTTCGATGGCGTCCGAAAACGAGATTCTTGACCTTAACTTTATAACAGGAGCGCTTGCGTGGTTGTCAATTCGAAAGGTACAGACCAAAAATTTATCGAGACGTGAGTTACGAACGACTATCCTTATATATATATAATTAATTTGCCTTTCAGGCAAAGGCTATCGAAACGACTCTATCAGGTGGTGGGGTTGCTGTATGGAATGACAACATAGTACATCTCATCAAACTTGCAGAAATTCACACCCACCACTATATATTATCGGAATATCATAATGATCTCGTTGAATATGGATCCACAGAATATAAAGATCTTTTACCAATGTTAACCCAAATGGGTCAACTGTGGGGAACATACGTCATGCAATCGTTGCTTGAATTATTCCTGGAGGAAGGCTATTTTTCACCTAGCCAGGCCAAGATGGTTAAAAAGGTGTTTTACGATCTTTGTCGAAAGACCAGAAAAGAAGTTATTCCCCTCGTAGATGCGTGGGCAGTTCCTGATTTCATACTGAAAGCACCATTAGGAAGATACGATGGAGATATCTATCCAGGTATTATTCATTGCGCTTTGAATTAAATCCGGGCATCACAAAATCATGAATGCTAATAATTAATGGTTTGTAACGCGTTTTAGCCTACTTTAATCGAGTTCGCAACACACCAGGTTGCGTTGGAGTGCCAAGCTATTGGTCTAAATACATCAAGCCAATGACTGATCCTGATTCATGAAACACATCCTAATACTCTTCAATTGAAACGGGTATTTGAATAGACATATTTCTCGTGAATGTGTTTTAATATTTATTGTTGTCATATTCGTCCGTCACATTGCTAAATGATTGGATAAAGTCGCTGAACAACATACAGTGCAGGCAAAAGTGACTGCAAAAATAAACCCATGTTATAAACACTCGCCTGTTTATTGCTGCGTGATTGTCAAATATAATCGTGTCGTTAAAACATTTAAACTGATGTATATTAATATTAGATTATGTTTTTACGGCAAAGCATAATTACTATAAGAGACATCACCTGTGTGGTGAGCTGAATTGAATATGTGATAGTGAAAACAGCAAATCTCCTTAACAGCAAATGAAAGTGTGCAAGCAAAATATGACATTAAACTTCCGAACATACTTCAAAGGATGTTCGTGCAGACTTTGGCATGAAATATGCTGGATCACGTAAACGCACTTAAAAAGACAGGCCGAGATTATTATTATGCTGAAGACGCGAAGCCATTTTTACTCTAGAAAATGTTGCCCCCCACATATTATTAAGCTTGGCTTTATTCGAACTTTCAATGCGAAATTTTTCAACGATTCGTGCGATCAAAGCCGGTCAGCTGTTCTGGGGTTTGTTAATATTATGCATAAGATGACATACTGTATAAATTATTGTTCTTTTCACAGATCGCGGTGCTTCGGTTGAACTTTTTGGGACCGATAAGAGTAACACAGTTGGGACGTGATTATCATCAACGACCAAATCAGCGAGTGACCTCCAATACAATTAATCGTGTACGGACATTTCGTCAAAAAATTATTATTGTACTATTGGTTTCGCGACGGAACTTGTTGAAATTTTTATTGATTTGACCTGTGTTGACATACTAGTCATAGGACATATTGTATATAGAACTCCTATGACAAGTTTATCCAGTCGCTAAATGTAAATGTTTGTAAATTGACTTTATTCGTCTTCATCTCCCTAAATCTCGTGACCTTATTTCTGAATTTGACAAGCAGAAATCTGGCAGTAGGTAAGAGCATGCTAGAATATTTACTCTCGTTCTCAAGACGTGATAAGGGTCTTACATCATTATGATAGATGGTATTCCATATATTATTGCCATAATTGGCATCAATAATATTGCGAATAAGTAATTTTGCACGTCACAACAAAGTTGAGCAAGTTCCTCGTATCCTTTGGTGCTGAATCAGGCATCAATGGTCGTAGTTCACCCAAATATCACATATTAAATTTCCATCAAATTCTCTATCTCGAAAAGGTGATTTGCCGGTGGCCATCAAAAACATGATAATACCAAAAGAATATATGTCCGATTTCTGAGTAAGTTTACGCGTATGGAAGACTTCCGGTGCAGTAAACCTTGAACCACGTATATTTTGTTTTGTATTCATTCTCTGTATTCTTCCATGATTCCATATCCAATGACTGGTTGCCAGTCAAGTGGTCTTGGTGCTTTACACCAATGACAGAATGCATGTACTGTATCTCAGGATCTAATTGACTTGCACATACTATAATTCAATCATATCACTGTAAATGTTTTACATAGTAGTCATCAGTTGAATTTGTAATATGTTTACATAAAACAGTCGGTTTATTACAAGATAATCTTTGTTTCTCCCACGGCTTATTCTTTGGTATGTTACATATAAAACTTTTGATCAGACAGAAGTTTTCCTGTCATGCTCTAAAATGATTGTATCTTTTGGTTTTTGGAGATGTTTACAATGGAACAAAGATAAACACTCATTTTTGAATGTAATTTTATTTGACGAATAAGCATTGTTGGGGTATAATCCGAAAGTAAAGTAAAATGTTGTGAATTTTAACCTTTATGCATTGTGTAACATGGTTTATAAAGTTCTCAAAATTAAAGCAGAAGTCAACAAAGCCTTTCTTTGGTAAATATCTTCAATGAGACATAAACAAGCTGATAAAAATATGTGGACCATAGTAGACAACGTGTTTCATCATTTATTTCAAAAGCAATTTTGATTTCGTAACCGCCGTTTTTTTCGTTACACAGTGTATATAGTAGAAACAACTCACTGCATTATATGACTTTGCCGTTTACTCGGTAAGTAAAAAGCATACTATCGCCAACAACACCTGCGAAGTCAACAACGCTGGCTTGAATTAAATGACGCATAATTGAACGACACATACGCCGGTTAAACCAGTTAAAGAAAAGCCACACAGCTCAAAAGGGCGTCCGAGACTTGCTACTAAAAACCACGGTGAAGAAAATAAAGTTTTAATATACGGTACAATTACATAACACTGCTATTTTTTTCCTGACAATTTTTTATATTCCGAACCCGGTTCTGTCTCCGTTGACTCGGAGGCTACACGTATACGGAATTTATTAACTTAAAATTGCTGAAAAAAGAACAAAACTTTTGAACCATATTGCAAAACGCCACCAGTCTGACGCGTTAATAAATTGGCATGAACAGGAGCATGCAAATAGTAATTTGTGAGAAGGGCAGTTAAATGTTGTGAGAACAAGAAAAATACAATAAATTGAATATATGTAACTAAATAGCGCAAATTTTGCAGCAATTGTTCCTCTGTTAAACGCATATATAAAAAACCCCATCCATTGAATGAACAATGTTTGCAGTAACTTTACCGTCGTGCCGACTACTGCGGGAGAGCAAAAAGTAATCGACACATGGGATTTAACTAGTCTCGACGGAGCGTGGCGCCTCCTATTCAAGTTAAATATCTATAGGTACAGTTAGTGACTTTGTAATCGCAAGGCTTTTCACTTACGAACTATTTCATTGTAGAGTGACGCTAATCCTAGATATATTATTCGTACTCGAGTATGTCTATCGGTTACTATCAGCCTTGGTATATATCTGCTCCATTCAGAATTCAATGGAATAGAGTAATGGAGCTTATACTCCATTGGCTCCATTGACTCAATTGTGGCACAGTAATTTTGTTGGCAATGGAGCATTCCATTGACATCCAATGGAGTGAATGGAATCAATGGAGTACGTTCCATTGCTCCATTAGCGAATGGAAAAGTTGCCTTTTTAGGATAACCAATAATAATGGCCAATAAAATGTCAAAGCGTCATCTTATCTCATCTCATCTCACGGTTTAATATCACGGGTTTTATTTTGTGAATGGAGGTATATCCAGTGGCTTACCATTAGAGCAATGGAGCATTGGACTGGAGCAATGTTCCAGTAGGTCATTGGAGTACAATGTGTCAAGGCTGATTCAAATGTATTACTTTAATGTATCGAATACAACAAGGGCGATAAGAGAGAGAAAGTACCCCAAGGGTGAAAATAACAAACCCTGTTGCCAACATTGTTCCTCTGGACTTTGTGGCGTAAGTTCGGAGATGATATGTAAATATAAAGGAAAAACGTGAATAAATGCTAATAAATCAAATTTGTGAGGAAATGCTATTTTTAAATATAAAGAAATGGTACATACGTGCGCTAATTGGGTACTCCTATGCCGAGAACAAATCGACAAATGACAGGGTCGGACCTTGACCAGCTATGGCAGAAAAAACCGTGCCGATAACAACTCTATGCCAAACATCTGTAATCAAATCATGCATTGTTAAGATTTTCACTACATATGAATATTATTATTCATTCTTCTTATCTTTTTCCGCCCATATTTATCGGTCATCCAAACCAAGTAGAATACATTATAATAACGCGAATAGAATCAATAAACATATCGGCACTATAAACATTGACTAACATCAGAAACACAAAGTTGAGTGAGTGTAGACTATATCCGTCAGTAAAGAAACCGCGCTCGCTACTAGGCAGCTAATGTGTGATGGAAAGATGTTAGCGTCATCAAATAGCTTGAAGACTTCTTCGTGTCGAGTGTTAAGTACTTGTGAGTGAGATGAGGATGCCCACGTTTGTTAATTGTAAGTTGACGGTGGATGAGATATATTTTATAAAGAAAGCAAAGATCGATGAAAAAAAACTTATATCAAAAAATTGGCACCTGAGATTCATTGTTTCTACTTTTTTGACTCTTGTATGACAAAACCAAAGTTGAGTAATATGAGGCATATTTTTAGTTGTCGTCTCATTTTAAACTTCGTCGTATAGCTTAATTTTAGCTTTACACAAAAAGTTAATTATAATTTATTAAATTATAGCAAATTTTTCGCATTGCTCGTTATGCCAATAGGGGACTTTTGACGGATTAAGAACAGTTATTGCACTTTATATTTTTGACTTAGAGACTGTATATCGACAGACGGTTACTTGAAGACTATTGCTTATTACTGTTCAATTGACATTTGTTTTTCTGCAAAACCCAACAATACGTATGATGTGACACGGAGAGAAATATTGTCTATGAAGCAATGTCATTGAAATATTGAGGTTTTTTTCTGTCAGTGAAACTGGTTTGACGATAATGAATATATATTTGTATTGTGCTGCGGTGCGGTGTAACAAATGCTCTGTACTTTCAAAAAATCGGTTGAAAAGCACCACAAAAAGAATGGAGAAGTAATTCCGCCCAAAACTTATGCTAAACTTATAGACATAATATTGAAGCATGCATTAGTAATCAAGTATAGCCTTACAGAGTATTAAATGTTATTTTTACTTTGGTATTGAAAAATTTTTTTGCTGACCGGATACGTGGTGTAATAGCTTTTGACTAAGCGACAACATATTTATCAACAGGACAAATTATTCTTTGCTTTAGTCTACATTGGTACATACTTACTTAGACTCTGCATTGAAAGGGATATTCGATGCTAGAGGGATGTAAGGCTTGGGATTAACAATAACGAGTTAAACGTAAAGTATGTTTTTTTACTCTTTAGCCGTATAGTATCTACCATGCTTTGTCTAAAGGATTTGTTCTCGCCTAGATATAAATACAAGCACGAGACTAACTGCAATTACTAATCAGAAGTGGCTCCAACTTCACATAATTGTCACGTAAAATTTGAAGTCACTTTTTGAGA